TGAGGCCTGGGGACTGAACTCAGGCCCTAGGAGGGTTGGTGCAAGGCCATTCCCCCTCTGTGGCTAACTCTCCAGTTCTATTGCAGTTTTCTGATGAGCTGATTTAAACACAATTTCTAGATTTCAGTGAACCATTGTTGAAGGTAAAAAAAAAAAGTTGAGTTAAAAAACTTTTGGGAATCATAATGAAATGGTTCTCCCTCCAAAAATAATCTCTAAAAATCAAATCTAAATATTTGTGATAGTATTCAGTGAAAAAGCACTTTGGTAACAATGTGTCAGCCTCCCCATGGAATGAGGTGTCCTTTTGCAACAATTTTTCCTGGTCATTACAGCCTGTCTCCTTCTCGTGTGTTACAAAAATCAAGCCAGGTAAAGTATTAAAATGTGCTCCAGGGGCTAGAGAGGTGGTTCAGTGGTTACAAGTACTAACTGTCCTTCCAGGGGACCCTGATTCAATTCCCAGCACCCACATGGCAGCTAGCAACTGTCTGTAACTCCAAGATCAGACACCCTCACACAGACATACATGCAGGCAAAATGCCAATGTACATAAAACAAGAAGAAATAAATGATTAAAAAATAAAGTGTTCCAAGCAGCAACAACAGAAACAATGCAAAGCCCAGTGGTGGTTGGTGGCAGCTGCGGTGGTGCACGCCTTTAATCCCTACACTCCAGAGGCAGACTCAGGCAGATCTCTGAGTTCAAGGCCAGCCTGGTACACAAAGCGAGTTCCAGGACATCCAAGGCTACACAGAGAAACCCTATCTGGAAAAACAACAAAATGAAAAGGTGTTTTAAAATTGAAGAACCATATTAGGGCAGGTATCATTATCCCTACCACGTATCATTATTGCCACCAGACCACAGACTCAGTTTTTAGATAGCTTGTTTCTATTGTGAATCTGCCCTAATATTCCTCATTAGCAGCTCGTACAGATCCGTCTTTGCTGTTATTTATAATTACTGACATTGACTGTGAGAGCATCAAGTTGCTCTCTGCAAAGTCTGCTCCTGGCAGGGGCTCCACCTTGCTATGGTATTTTAGTTATTTCCTCCCTGTTTTTCTGTCTTCCTGCGCCATGAAACAGCCTGTCAAGTTTTCACCATTCATCCTTTCTTCACTATCTATCCCCCCTACCTGCTCTGTCACAACTTCAGGGTGTTTGGTTTGGTTTGGGAATTTGGGAAAACAAACATAGCCACCTGAACTGTGTCTAGAGAGAAACTGGATCTACCTGAGGAGTTCATTCCTGCTCACTTGAGGGGGGGGGGTATACGCTTTTTACAAGACATTGGAGTGTGTATACTTAGGTGACTACAGGTTTATTCGTCTAGTGAGCATGCTTGCTGTGTCTGCCTCCTAATGGAACGTGGCCTTATTCTCTTGGTGCGTATAGCTGGAGAGATAAACACAAAACATGTGATTATCCAAATCTCTAATTAAGTTGACTAGGTGCTGTAAAGCAGGCATGAGGGATGCACAGAGTGTTTCAAACAGTCCAGACAGCTCTGTTGGGCTAGGAAGACAACTTCACTAAAGACGGGAGAAGAGTTAGCATTGGCCCAGCAAACAGCGTACAAGCAAGTGTGGCATTTAGAGACTTTTTGTTTATTTCTAGACTCTTCAAACTAGGTGAGATGGATGACTCCTGTTGCCCTTAAAGAATTTCCAAATGTTCCTCAGCAACTGGTCTGAATTCAGCTCATTTTACCTTCTTTTCCAGGGCACAGGGGAACTCTGTTGTGAATTCCCGTGTGTTTTCTCTGTAATTGGAGGTGGAGTCTTCTGGGCCCATGGTGGTGGGGACTGACTTAACGCTGAGGAAAAGTTCCAGTTCCAGACTGTTTCCTGTTCACAGTTTAACTGGAGGACAGGCAGCATGGTGTGCCTGTGTGTCTAGGAAGCCACATGGTGGTGGGAGTTACACCTGTGTATCCAGGGAAACGCACTCCCCCGTGCCACTGTCAGACCCCAGCACGTGAGAATGCCAGTCTGGAAGGACTAGAACTCTCCTGGTAAAACAGTAGCAGTTGAGAAAACAGGTGACAAGGGAGGACAGGGCAGCTGGGACAGCATCTTTACCTGTCAGCCAGGGGCAGTAGGAAGAGAGAATGGAAGAAATACCAAGTAACAAAATGACGTAATGAAAAATGGCATCGTTATAGCTACAGGTTGGCTTTAATCAGCAACACTTCCTAGCATGACAAGGTCTGGGCAAGAGTCCTAGAGGCTCTAGATTAGGGTCAACACGACCCTGTGTTCCCTTCTGTGTGTCACCTTCCCCTTTCAGACAGCCATACCTTCAGCACCAGCTCTGGGTCAGAGCCCCAACTAGCCTGGGAAGTGGCCTCCAGGTCTTTCAACAGGAATTTTCTGGCAATTCTTACCTTTAGACCCCATAAACAGCACTGCCTTGTATATGAGGGCAACTCAGAATGGTTTTAAACTAAAGGCACAGCAGTGTTAAGCAAGAGCTACATACCTTTTCAATCTGTATTGTTGTGACCAGGAGACCCACCCATTTCGATGCAAAAGCAAGGAGTCTTTTATTGTTGATGTTCAACGAGCTAACCCCATTAGCTCGGGCCCTTCACCCTACCACCATGCCGAATGGCTGGAGAAAGACCCAAGCAACCTCGAGGCAGGGATCTTAAAGGGCAGCGTAAGGGGAGTGTCTAGGGGTATGAAACAGTCTCAGGATTGGTGTGCTTCTAAGTTCGATGACTTGCCCTGTGCTGATTGGCCAACTGGTTGTTATGGCCCATAGGCCCTCCCAGGGCGGTTGCTATGCTCTGCACGTCACTGCTGTGCACTGTCTGTAAAGAACACCCAGAGCCATAAATGACAGCCCCGCCAGCTAACTTCTGATTGCCTCCTTGCCATGAGGAGGACATCTGACCTTAGTGATCAGGACAGGAGCAGCAAGGTCATTCGAGCACATGTTAGCCTATCAAGTCTGCTAAAACGGTGTGGGGGGGGGAGGGCTGGTCACTACAGTATGTCTTAAAACTTACTGTATATCAGAGTCATACACGAATCTGTTATAATGCAAATGAGTAGAGCATGAGCGTCGGGTGTTTTTTTTTAAGACTGGACCTTAGTATGTAGCACTGGATGGCCCAGAACCCACTATGTAGACCAGGCTAGCCTCTAACTCACAGAGTTCCCCTGTTTCTGCCTCCTGTGTGCTAGGATTAAAAGTGTATACCAGTACATCCTGTGAGCTGAAGTTCTAACTATCTCTTAGGTGGTAAGAGTTCATAGACCACACTTTGAATGCAAGCTTTATAAGTATACTAATAGTTACCATTGTGTGTGTATATGTATGTATGTATATAAATAAAGCATGTTTTTTAAAAAAATCACAAGCCGGGTTTGGTGATATGCCCCTTTAATTCCCATTACTTGGGGGGCAGAGGCAAACAAATCTCTGGGAGTTGGATGCCAGACTGGTATACACAGCCAGTTCTAGGCCAGGCAGAAATACCTCATTAAGATCCTGCCTCAAAACACAAAACAAGGAAAAATAAAATAAAATAAATTTCAAGGCAGTTAAAAAGACTAAGTTTTGGACAAATTACTTAGAATCTTGCATCAGATTATGCTCCCACTCTGCCTCCATTTTAATCTGCGGGCACTGGCGGCATCAAGTCTTATCTTCAAACTGGGCTCTCAAGTGTTGCTTTGGAAGCTCCTGCAGCCTTCTAAAACCCTACGGATTCCTGAGATACATATTAGAGCAAATGGAAGACTAACTGTCTCCTGGAGTAGAAAAGAGTTTCTGATTAGATTTAAACAGCTGTCATCTCAGAAATTTTCCTCTCTACATCATTCTCCGCTCTCAACAAGCTCTCACAGGTTGCTCTCTTGGATGGCAGCTTCAGCCTGTATCCTTCCAACCCTGGCTAACTGTGCCCTCTGATGGGAACCTGGACATATTTAAGGGCATCTTTACCAGCTCAAAAACACTTGGCACTGAGAAATATTGCTCACTACCTTCTTTGCCATAACGAGTATTTTCCCACGTGCCCAGCAAAATCCAGCCACACCAAGGACGATGATGCCTCAGGTGACACAGCTTAAAGCGGTTTTGGAAACTGCAGCAAAAAGTTACCACTTTTCGTTGAACCTAGATGAGATTTCATCTAAAATATATGTGTGTTTTTTTTGTTTTTGGTTTTTCTTTTAAGCAGCTCAGACTTGTGGGAAATGGCAATTAAAAGCCTGTGGACATTGAACCAAGATTACATCATGGAAAACTGACTAAGGTTTTCAGGATAAATATATTGCCGATAGTATCATTCTGTGCTTTAAAAATAAAATGTAAAATACTGTGCTAAGTCTTGGATGAAGCTTCCCCTAGAGACTTTACAGATTGTAAGTGAAATGGCCGTTTTCTTGTTAGCCGTGATCAAAGTGAACGGGGAATGTCTACAAAAACGTGAGAGCTGATTGCATGTTGTATTGCTGGCACTGCACTTCCAGGCCACCCATAGGATACTGAACTAACTCCATCCAGCTTGAGGACTCAGCTTTCTCGTCTTGAAAAACAAAATAAAATTACACATTAAAGTCTAGTGCATAGGATTGGCATTGTTAGCATGTGAATACACCCCCATTCTCATTTAAAATTGTAGTCTTACTCCTTTAAATACTATGATACCGAAAGTAATGTACAATGAAAGATGTGTTTAATGGCCGGGCAATGGGTGGTACATACCTTTAATTCCAGCACTCAGGACTCAGAGATAGGTGGATCTCTGTGAGTTCAAGGCTAGCCTACTAAACAAAATGAGTTCCAGGACAGCCAGGGCTGTTACTCAGAGAAGCCCTGTCTTGAAAAAAGAAAAAAAGTTAAATTAATGATGACTTCCATAGCTTTGTCTCTATTATGGGAAACTAAGGAAAATGAAGAGAAAACCAGAGGCAAAGTTAAATAATACAATTTTCTTTTCCAAGTTTTAACATCTAGGATAAAATGACAATGCTTCTATGTTTTCTGTTCCATCTTTTTTTTATTAAACTTTTTAATTTATTTTGCATAACAATCACAGTTTCCCCTCCTTCCTTTGCCCTTTCTACCCCATCCCCATCTTCTCAGGAAGTCTTTTGGAAATGTTTTCTTATTCTTTATTTCCAGAGTATTATTAACAAGCCCAAAAGCATCCCTTGCAGTATTAAAACAAGAGAAATCAATGATACGATGATCACCTACCCTCAAGCCAAGGCTGCTCTAACAGATACCAGCTGGGTTGCTCACAGGTACACAACCATTACTCACTTAAATCTGGCCACTGAAAAATGTATGTCCAGAAAGCCGTACTAAAATTCAGGGGTTTTTAGAATGACCTTGAGAATGATCGAGAGAGACCCTGCTCTCTCTTCAGAAGTCTTGGAAGTCGCGGTGTGGCCCGCAGAAGAGCACTGAGGGCTTGGCCTCTCACCATAAGCCCATCTTGAAGCTGAGGTCACGCTCTGAAAGAGCCAGATCCAGATGGCCAGACGTGCCCTGCATGGGCTACACCAGAGTGCGACCGTCTTGTGTGACTTCAGTTGTTTCTGCTTCTGTTCATTCCTAGGCAAAAAGACACAGCAGACTGTAGCAATTAGGAAAGTGAGAACCCTCAAAGTCAGGGAGGAAATCAAGGCCAAGACGTAGTCGCTCAGTCTTCCAGAAGGAAGGAGGAGAAACATGTCTGTAGCCTGATGGATTAAATGCTGTGTGTAGGTTTTAGGAAGGGAGTTTTGCCGTGAGGGACAATGGAAGGCACTGAGTTAGCAGCACGAACCCTCATGAAAAATCAAAGACACTACCACCACAGGCACATTGTAGAATAAGGAACCCTTGAAAGTATTTACCATTTTGCTTGATCTACATATCAAAAGCTTCCTCTCCTGTATAGAGTAGATCCTTGCAGGAATACATGTCCTAGGAAAAAGTAAAATGAAAAGGGTAGAAAGGGGCATGTGCTTGAGGCTATGTCCTTCCTTTTCTTCTTCCTCTTTTTCTCCCCATCCTGCATTCTTTCATGAACCTCAGGCCAGTGCCATGAGCTCAGGCAAACCAGCACCTTCTGAGATCTACCCAGAACGCAAGAGACGCTGAAACCGAAGGACAGAAACAGCAAGGAGAAATCAGGTGTCCCGGGGCACACAAAGGAACCACCCCACCCCCCTCTTTAGTGACTGCTTGTGTAATAAGAGCCTTCTGCACCAGTCAGGGGAAAATGTTGACTAATCTTAGAATGATTTCTGTTGGATAATACAGCTTTCCTAAGTATTTTCAATCAGTCATATTGAAACACCCAAAGTCAAATTGCCAATGAGCTGAAACAAAGATGATTAGCTGTTTGAAAACTAACATTATCCTGCACACATATTAGGCTCATCTCTGGCACTCTGTCACACTCTTAACAAAGAGATTTCACTCCTTAAAGAGGGGAAGAGACGGAGGTTTCGGCTTTCTGTGTCTTTTGTTTTATTTTCCTTGTTCTTTTTTTCCAGTCATTTCACTAGCACTAATAGAGTTTTAGACAGAAAAGTGATTTCATACAGACTGCAGATATTTAGTTTGTTATACCAACGATATTTAGGATTTACTTTGATCTCAAACCATCCACAGGGTTGTAACTGTGAGACCTCTCGACTTTCACCTGGAAACTCTGAGAACGTGTGTTGACCGCAGGTCTTCTGACTAGGATCAGGGTTCAAATCTACTCTGTGTTCTTTTGACCTGAGGAGACTATCAACAGTTTCCTTAACCTCATAATACAATACCAATGCAACTACTTAACGGCTTGTGTCACAAAGCTATTGTGAGGTTTGAATAAACTGATGTGAAGAAATTTCCCAGTGCAGCACCTGAGACATTTGGGGTGACACAAGTTCTGGTCTCCTTCCCCACAGGAGCCCGGTCATCACGCCCTGGCGGTCCTGGTCCTCAGCATTCCTCTTTTGCAAGTCCCCCTCGTGTCACCTAAATCAAGCTATGCACTACCTCAGCCCTCGACTAGACTAGTGGCTGCTTAGTTCTCTCTTACCCACAGACTGGGGCATTCCTAACCTACTCTGTATGCCGAACCCTTTCTTGGAAATAAAAATAGTCACATTGTCCTGCACAAGTTTTCCTGATGCCTGTAAGACATAATTTAATCTCCCTAAAGGAGTATCCAAGGGATGTGGTTATCAGAGAATTCACAGCTGACTTCTACCACTCCTTATACTCTCCATGGAACTAACTCTCTGCTCGCCACCCTTTCACTGAGGTTCTGTCTGTGGGCTTGCTTTCCTCATGCTCTCAGACATATTTCCCACCCTCTGACAGAGAACAACCATTTATCTTCAAGACACAGCTGAAATGTCACCTCCCGTATGCAGTCCTCTCAGGCACACAGAGGAATTTATCTTCCTGTAGGATTTGTAATTATATCCATTCTATTATAGCATTTTTCCTCCAATAACTTGTTTATATCTCTGCCTCCACACTGAACAGCACCCTCCAATGTTTACCATAAGGCCAAACATATATATATATATATATATATATATATATATATATATTCTACACAGGTGGGTGAAAGAAACAGAATTGAAATATTTATTGACTGAAAAACAGGAACAACCACTGTTAGCTTACACATTGATCTATTGAAGGTTGATATTGTTTTTAATTATGTGTTTGTGGGGGAAGCAGTACTCAAATGTGAGTACAGATGTCTGTCCACAGAGGCTAGAGGCCTAGATACTCCTGGAGCCGGAGCCACAGGAGGCTGTATGCTGGGAATCAAACACAGGTCACCCACAAGAACAGTACCTAAACCCCCTTGAGTCAATTATATTGATTTTCAAAGAAAATGCAATTTTTTTTACTTTAAACTTTCAACCTCAACAATACATTTCCCCTACTATAGTTGGCACATGGCATAAACACAGAGGTATTTTTGTTATTTGTAGAAAATAAAAAAATTGAGGTAGGCCAATTCTTTCTTTCTTCACATGCTATTAAATAGGAAAGCCAGGGACATGCACACCCAGGGACAAACTGACTCTTTTGTGTAGTTTGTCATGGACTCTAACTCCTCATTCAGAAGGCTCTGTGTCCTGGTTTTCCTCTATCCTCGGGATGCTGGGAATTTAATGAAAAGAACAGTGGTGGTCTCATTTTCTTTTCTTTTCTTCCGCTTTTGTCATGAAAGTAAGAAAAAAAAAGCCAGTATGCAAAGGTAAGTTCAGGGCTCTAGCAAAAAACTTCGGTGAGTGCCTAGCCTCGGGCTGTCAGTGAATAAATGTGCCTCGCTGGTGATGACATACTAAATATGAGAACCTGTGTTTCTGGTTCTGCACTGTCATAGAGCTGCTATTATTCAGCATTTATTAGGTACCCACAGAGTGTAAGGCATAAACATGACAAGTGGAAAACACACAGTCCCTAACCTCTAAATTACCAGAGACAGAGGCAGGAGGAAGGAGGTGGACCTGGAAATTGCTTCCAAATGGCTGCTTGTAGGAGGAATTAGAAGGGAGGGAAACTCGAGGCGGGGCCAGTGGGTGGACAGGATGGCTTGTGAGGCAAAGGGAGGTGTGAGAAGAGTTAGTGTTTTCATAAAAGGCAGAGGGTAAGAGGTCAGGCCAGTTTCCAGAGTCGTAAGGGTTGAGATGAAAGATGAGCTGGCGGTAATGAAGAACGGGAAGGGATGAGGAGGAGGGCGGAGTGACTGCCCTGTGTCTGTGCTGCCCTTGCTGATGAGAGTGCCTGTGTCCTCCACCTTCCCAGGACGGTGGGCACGGTAAAACATACCCTGGATCTCCTAAAATGAAGGCTCAACCTCCATGAATAGCTTGGCCATTCCCTAGCCCTGGTTTCCCCATTTCCGATAACAAACAGGAGATCAGAGAATGGAGGTACAGGACCACAGTTCTAGTGACTTGGAAACCTGGAATCTGAGGGTCCCAAGCTCAAAGCCTACCAAGAGTAGAGATTCAAGTTCAAAGCCAGCCTAGGCCCTGTTTCAACAAAGACTAACTTCTCTCTGTTACTGCAGTACTGACTACTCTCTCTGTACTGTACTAAATAAGTATGCTTTTGTTTTTTTGTAGAATGTACATGAACCTAGCTTCCACCCCCGAACCTGAACAAACAAACAAGCAAAAAACAAAAAATAAGATTTCAAAGAATTGCCCTGAGAATTAAGAGATAGAAAGCCACAACAGTGGCTTGCACATTGTTTGGGAGACTCAAGACACACTGCAATCTTAGGCAACCTCTGACACCCAAGCTTTTTTGCTTTTCCCGGATATTCTTAGTACTCTTGGAGGAATAAGATTTTGTTTCAGAAAGAGAAGATCAAGTTTAAACAAACAACATTCACTAGTGAGTATGTAGACAAGAAGAAACATCATACTAACAACTGGATTTTAACCAAGATGCTCATTTGTTTGCTGTCAGTAGACACAGACCAAACAATAAGATTAGAAATGAAGATCGCAGTGGGAGCCTTGTTACACGGTTCTTGGGAACCGTGGAGGGAGGGCATAGCCGTCTTTTCATCCTCTGGGATGATCCATAAGATCCTACGTATAAGGAGGCTGTCAGTCAACTTCACCCTGCCTTCCTCCAAACATGTAAACCCAAGGGATCAGTAACGGCTTAAAGGGGGAAAACTAGTGTAAAGTTACACCAGGGACCGCTTCAGCCCTGCTGCCTTCATGCGCTGTCCCGTTGGGCTCCCACACTGAGTGAAACTTACCTGAGTGGCCCAGTCCACCCCCACCCTTACCAGACCTGCAGCCCTTTGTTAGAACATGAGCCAGAATTGCCCAGTCTCGGGGGCAGCCGGTCTCTAATGACCCATGCGTTGTCCAAACACACAGGAGTTCACTCTCAAGGAATGAAAACTCGCGTTCTTTTTCCATTTCTCTGTTGACAATGCAGAGCAGGGCTGTGTGGTAAACCCCGGGTTTATTCCCAGGATGTTGGCTTCATAGGCGGTACAGTTATGGAGTCGGACAGCTCACTGAAAGGAAAGTAAAATGGGATATTATCTCAGCACTGTAGGAAGGGCCCGAGAAAGACAGAATATTCCCCAAATGTAGCCATCACGAGCCTGGCATGCCCGCATTGATGATTTCATCAGACCAATAATTAATAAGCGTGAATTAGGCTAATGAAATCAGATGGGGTAATGAAAAGCAGCCTTCTCGTTAGCCTCGCTATTTCCTCCATTGTTTAATCTCTAACAGAGACTGAATTTGCCGCTCGGGACCTAATTGAGCCTATTTGACTCCTAGTCGACTTTAAAAAGAGTCTCAGGAAGCTTTTAAGACAGAGGCAGGTATTGAAAAAAACGCTAAGAATCCTCGAGATGATACCTGTGACATTGGGACCAGATCATATCAGAAGCACGGCCAACTTGTCCTGTTCCCTTCAAGACTGAAGACGTTGGCGATAAAAGAAATGATAAAGAGGGGTTTGCAGATGGCTTTTTGAGGCTGGACTTAGATGAAGTGGAGATTCTCTTTACCCCAATTACAGCTTCTTTGAAATTTAAAGTCTAGTGTGTGTGTGTGTGTGTGTGTGTGTGTGTGTGTGTGTGGTTCCTGGTGGTGGTGGTGGGGTTTACATGCATGTAGAGCCAGAGGATGACTTGGGTACCATTCCTCCTTGGTGCCCAAGGTCTGGCCTGAAACTTGCCAAGTAAGCTAGGCCAGCTGCCCAGCTGGCCCCGGGGAATCCACTTGTTTCCACCCCCCTCAGCCTGGGATTATGCACCCCCAACCTCACTTCCCACATTCTGATGTGGACGGAACCTTGCCACTTGTCTCTACAGTCCAACTGCTGGAGATTTCGTACACACATGTCTCAGTGACTAATTAAGCTCTAGTAAATTGCTCCTTGGGCGGGCGAGCGGGCAGGCGGGCGGGCAAGCGCTGAAGTGCAGTCTCGCAGAGTGATGGGAGTCAAGAATGGCTGCTTTGGCCTACAGAGCGGAACTGCGATGACTTGTCCTCCGTAGGAACAGTGATTTGCCTTCTCTGGCAGGAATTCACAGGCTGCCTCCCTATCTTAAATCTGCAGGAAAAAGCTGGACGCAGGCCTGATGGGATTTGGTTTCTATCTGAATCTTCTGTTCCAAAGAAAGCTCCAGAATCCACAGAAGGGATCAAGGGCCAGGAAAGCATGTGCCTCCCATTCTTCTCCTGCGAGGAACCCACGACAGGCTGGGTCCCGCTCCAGTGGCGCCCCATGGACCCCTGTCCCTGAATGAAAGTAAATGCAGAGAGGAAGGAAAGCATCAGTGAGTGAGGGGTTAAACTAGACAGGATGTGAGGATTTAAAAAAAAAATCAGAGTATATTTCAAATCTGATAATGTTGGATCTATTTTGAGATTACTTATCAGTTGGTTATTGTGCTAATAATTACCATTAAAATTAATACTACATTTTGGGAATTAGGCAAAGAGCTAACAAGTTTGCATTGGCACAGAGCATTCCAGAAGCAATCGGAGTAACTTGTTTCCGGAATGCAGCTGTGTACATTTTATTACCATCCTTGCAGGTGGAGCCTAATTTTAGTTCAGCCTTGAGAAGGAGGAATTGTTTCCCTCCAGATACACACAGCCCCTCAACAGCAGTCGGGCAGGTGGGGCTCCACGCAACACTTGTTTACATTCCTGTTTGTTTAAAAAAAAAAAAGCAGATGATTCATCCTGTTAATCGTCCAGTTTCTCTCCGATTTTAACGTGTTTTGAGCAGAAAGAGTCTGGGTTACATTTGACCTCCACCCCACCCCCACCCCCGTTCCTCCAATGCAAAACAAAGGCAATGAAATCGAAGATGATAAGAAAATGAGCAATGGGTCCTAAATATAGGGTAGAAGCCAGTGAATGAACGCAAGTAAAATTTGGAAATACATCTGTTTGGCTACAAAAGCATTTTAAAAAAGCAACAGTCCAGATCCTGGTTGGCTCAGTTAGAATATATATATACATTTCTTTCTGCCACTGCAATAAGGAAACTATTAGGGGAAGAACGCTGTTGCCAGGGGAAGGGAGATGAAGGAGTAGAAAGGAGATCACTCCGCGGGGAAGGCATCTTACAGGACTCAAGCACCCACATAAAAAGCCAGGCATGAGCCAGGGGTGGTGGGTCATGCTTTTAATCCCAGCGCTTGGGAGGCACCAACAGGTGAGTATGGGAGTTCGAGGCCAGCGAGGTCTACAAAGTGAGTGCCAGGTCAGCCAGGGCTATGCAGAGAAATCTTCTCTCAAAAAAACAAGCAAACAACAGAAAAGCCAAGCACAGCATCAGAGCTGAGTTCAGCCCCCGAGCACCCACACAAGGGTGTGCCTGTATGCCTGTAACCCAAGCACATGTGCTTGCGGGAGGGCAGCAACGGAGACCTGTGGGAGGCGGAGACCAAGGGGGCGGGTTGCTGGGGCTTGCTGGCTGCCAGTCTATCTGCAAACACAGAGCTCTGGCTGGGTTCAGAGTGTGAAAGCTTATGTCCAGGGGATAGAGCAGGATCCCCGAGGTCTCCTTTGATCCGAGTGTGCACGGACATGATCGCAGCACACAAACATGTACCCCACAGCCACAAATATAGGCAGCTCTCCTTCAAGTAGCGCCCCACCTCTGGGTCTCGGGGAATCCCAGGGGCTCACATCTGAGATGTAGGACAAAGCATTTTGCAGAAACAAGTGTCTGGTTATTAACAGCAGTGTCTCTTTAAATGGATTTAGCAAGTAGTTGAAGTTTCAAGGCACAAACCCCATCCTTTTGCTGTGTTTAATGTGTGCTGTGAACCTACTGTGTGCCTCTCTATGAATATGAGCGCTAAGGGTTGGACCATAATCCAGCTGTGTGATTCTTCTTCTCTGTGGGTGTTCTGGAACATTCTGTAACCTCTACAGAGAAGGGGTGGCATGCTGTGAGACTCCTTTCTTTCACTTCAACCCTGTGGAATGGATGGAATTCGTCAGTATGCTGGAGAGGTACCTTTTGTTCTGAACCTGAACAGAGACTTCCTTGAGAGGTCTCTTTTGCACCTTGGAGGTCACCATTCAAAGGCATCATCTTGATGACGTTTCTTAGCCTGGGATGTAGGTTTGCCTGAGATCGAAATCTTCCTACTCAACAGGAATGTCTATTTTTCTCAGGAAAGGGTGAAGAGCATTCCTGGGATTCCCCCACTCCAAAAAGCAAGTCCCCCTCCTGCTAAAAACCACAGCTTTACACAGAATGTTTTCAAACGCAGCTTATAGTGCAGTGGTCTGTGTAAGCTCATGGCCTCAGTTACACAGTAGCCTTTGCCCGCCTTCCTCTTACAGTAAATTAAACTTTGGCTACTTTGCACTTTTGCCTGCCTAGACTCCTTAGGGTTTATTTCACAATTCTTTCCCTGCCTCTGACCTCTAACCATGCTGAGTGACCATCTAGGAGAGTGGTGGATTTTTCTAAAGACTGTTCTCTTATTCAGCATAGATTTATTAAGCACTGACTATACTTAACATACTTCCAGATTTCAGAAATATATAACACACTGTCTGTCTCCTTCCAAAATTCCAGGACTTTTGGTAGAGACATTTACCTAGGGAAAGAAATTCCAATCAACTAATCTGTTGGTAAAGGAAGAAAATAATTCTTCAAGACCCCAGCTTTCCAAAGCGTCTTGAAAGCTCACCTTGAGACTTAAAGGAGACGGTGGAAAACAAAGGCTGGTGATGTTTGTGCAGTCTGACAAAAGCCACACGTCGTCATAACTTGTTGGCGCTGCTGTCCCATGCTACCCGCAGGCGGAGGTGACCGTCAAGGGGGGTCTGTGTGGGTGAGCAAGGAGCAGTGAAACTTTCCAAATGGCTTCGGGGTGCAATGATGGTATAGGTCTGAAAAGGCAGGGGAAAAAGGTGTGTTTGAAGCCTGAACTAAATTAGCAGTTTTTGAGTAATCTAATCTCACAGGTGATAATTGCTCACTTACCAGACTGAGATTATGAAATTTCTTGAGGGTAATTCTGACAGGATTAAAAAAAAAAAAGACATGATAAGACCCAATCTTCTGCTTCCATCTCTTTCCAGTAGGTTGCAAGCCCGACTTCCCCATTTCTTTCATTCCTCCTTAATGAAGGCCCTTCCCTCTAAGAGGCTCTCAAGGCCAAGAGGATAAACAAAAGGGAAACAGTGGACAACAGAAGCAAACTGTTTTTCCTTCTTTCTAACTGGGACCCACACTGTTAATAACAGGAGCCATCCCTTCTGCCCCTTGCCTGATGCCTCCTTCCCTGTGTAAACGCTGGCATCTACCCACTCCTCACCACCAGACCCAAGGTTAGGTGTGTGTGTGTGTGTGTGTGTGTGTGTGTGTGTGTGTGTGTGTGTGTGTGTGTGTGTGTAGGGGGATTTCCAGGATATAAAGGGAATTGTTTTAGCTACCTGTCCAGAGGCTCCTGGCTTTGTTTGTTTGGGGTGTTGTTGTTTCTTTAGTAACCCCAGCTAAAAACCATAGAGCTGGCAACCCACTTCCCTTCTTTCCAGATGCGTCCTTTTCCGGTACGTTCTCTTCTGCTCTCTTTCCCCGGCAAGCCTACTTTTCCTGCTAGGTTCCCTAAGACATACAGTCAAACATTACAGGAAGCATGTGACTCATTTTACTCCTGCTGCTCAGTGGCCTCAGAATGAGACTTCAAAAGATTTGTTCCCCGAGTTTAATCTGAACCTCATTGAGTCGCCTGCCATGGAACCCTCCACCACAGCTGATGAAGCGAAGACCTTTCTGAAGTGCTTAGATGAGACCTGACTGCTAGGAAGCCACTTTTAAAGAAGTTCTGACCGGCATCGAGGCAACAGTTATGAGATTCTTATGGATTCTTGCTTTCTTAAAAGAGAGTGCAAGCTGTGGAGAGTCCAAGTATTTTATACGAAAACCCCAGTCCTGTCCAGTCGCATTGGTCCAAGTGCAGAAGATTTGTGAGACAGCAATTTGGCAGGGTCATACCAGCTTCCTGGGAGAAAGATGAGATAAATCTCCTCCCTTCCTGACTCTCAGTGAAGATGAGATTCAGCCACTTCAGTCCCAAGGCTGCCAGGCCCTTTATCTGGTGGTTAGGCTTAGCTCTTGTACCCATCCTAATGTTCACCGGGCTCAGCTCTGTTTAGTTTGTTTAGCACAGAGACGGGATAAGGCTAAACAAAGCGTTAGCCAAAACTCCTGTGAATGCATGAGAATCTTTTCGGTGGAGAAAAGAAACAATAATTTAAAAGTAAAGACTATTTTGATTATACATACCAATATACTTGAATAATGTCTACTCTTATTTTATTTTTAAGACTTTTGGTTAGCAAGAGTTATTTAGGCTGGGGCAAGGTGGCTTTCATATTTTTCAAGCCATTTTCTCCCAGCCTTACATGTGTAAGTGTATTTAAAACCAAATTAAATAATGTATTTTGAAAGTGTTTATATTCATCCTACTGCCAAGCAAAGATTCAATTACTCAAATAGATTAGATTACTTGGGACAGCGGAAGTGCCAGCCAGTCTCTACCCGGCAG